ACTATGCACAACCCCACTGAGCAGGACTATCATGCCTTGCAACGCGTTCTGCGCTATCTCAAAGGCACTTTGAATCATGGTCTTCTTTTTCGCAAGGGGGGATTCGACCTATCTGTCTACTCTGACTCTGACTGGGCCCATGATAAAGATGATCGCAAGTCTACCACGGGCTACATACTCCTACTCGGTCCTAATATCATCTCTTGGTGCACGAAAAAGCAGACTCGTGTTTCTAGATCATCCACTGAAGCTGAATATCGAGCTATGGCTGCAGGGGTTGCAGAAGCTATGTGGCTTCGATATATCACTAATGCACTGGGTATTCCTCCGTCCAAACTGAAGTTATACTGTGACAATGAGTCGACTATCTGTGTCACCAAAAATCCGGTTCTTCATGATCGCATGAAGCATGTGGGCACAAACTGTCACTTTGTACGAGATGAGGTTATGGCAGGCACTATGACTCCACATCATGTTTCCTCCTCAGAGCAGCTAGCAGACATTCTTACCAAACCGCTTCCGCCAGTTCCTTTTGAGTACTTATGTTCCAAGCTGCCCCTCGTCTCCGTTGATCAGCTTGCGGGGGGATATTAGGAAGTATAATTAAATTAGGATACTTCTTTCCTTTCCTACTAGGATTATTCTTTCTTTTCCTACTTGTACTTTGATTACTCTTGTATTCCCTATATATAGAGCCATATCTCTCAATATTCAATAAGACAAGTTATTATCAAATTGTATCAGTTAGCAATGACTTTTTAGACCTAGAATTCAAATTTTGTTTGAAAGCAAGAACAATTTAGATTTTTTTTAGATTAATCGTGGATGTATTAATTACAAAACTTATCGATTTACTTCTACAAGTTTGAATTTAATCGATTAGGTGTCTTTAAATGTAGCTAGATATGTTTTAGTTTATTGATTTATGGATTCTTTTTTACTTCAGTTTTAGATACTTTTTGCACCAGTCATTCTTCTCGTTTTGTGTTATATTGCATTTATGAGACACAAACTTGGCATCCAGTGTCCAAAATTAGTATATCAACTTATACTTTTTTATTTTTACACAGCATTGCATTCTGATTTAGTGGTAATGCATCTTACACTAGCAAATAGTGCACTCACTTACCTGAGCCAATGTTGGTTATAAAATTCACCATATTTTTGTGATTTTTATATTACCTTGACAACGTTGTTGGAAATTTGGTGTTCATTGAGGTGTATATTGCTGCTTTTAGTTTTCTTTAATCTTTTTTATGTTTTGTTTTCTTTTTTCTATTATCGTGCGTTATCGGAATCAAGGTGATGCATTTACATGAGAAGATAATGTACTCTTAAAATCAAGATAAAGGATAATGCATTCTCTTTATTGTGCATTCTTAGAATTAAAATTATGATTTGATGGTCTGAAATTCTGAATGGATGCATTTGATGGACAAATTCATCTGACACAAATATGACGCATTTGTAGAAAACTAGATAATGATTTTTTTGACAATATTCATTTTAAATGTTTTTTGATACATTCAAATATGGGTTATAAGCACGCTGAATGATACCAATTTTAAGACATCAAAGTGCGTATTTAATATGTCCAAGTGCAAGATAGAAATCTCTTTGAAAAAATAAATGATTGCCTATTAGCTCAAATGGTAGAGTAGTGTGTATTACTGATGTGGGTTCGAATCCTGCATAGGCAAATTATTTCTCAAATTAGTATTAATTGGATTACATTGACTTCTCATGTTTTTTCATCACATACAAATCACCTAGGAGTTATTATGCACTAATACATAAATTCATAGAATAGAGTTTGAATAAAATCAAAAGGATAAATCATAATGCATATATTCCCTACCATAGTGCATTCATTTTAGATTTTATGTTTAATTTGTGGATACGGTAAAACTATTTGTACCCCAAGGATTTGTACCCCATTTTGTACACCGCAGGGATGCACCAACATTTTGTGTTAGTGTAATGCTAATTTTTGTTAACGCACCAACACTTTGTGTTAGTGTAAACCATAAAAATGTTGGGTGCATACATTTGGTGTACAAATAAGGTACAAATTTTGAGGTACATGTAACATGCTCCTTGTGGATATGTTGTATCTGTATTATTTTAATGACTTTTTTTGCATTTGTTACCATCTTAGTGATGTTATTATCCAGAAACAATAATCACAAAATAATTTATCACTATAGAATGCATTCTTAGTGAGTAAGTGTGCATTTCAAAGGCATATCTATGCAACACGTGCTAAGCCTTATCAATACAAAAGTAAAACTTAAACTTTGGTCATTATGTGTAATCTCAGCTTGCTTTTTTTGTTTTAGTCAGTAATGGGGGGCGGGGGGGAGTATTTTCATGTGATCTTCAAATTATTTAATTGGGCCAGACCTATATATGTGTGATTATTTATCTTTGTGTACTGGCGTACGAGTTTTGAGGGACTAAAATGCCCCTGCTAACTGCAATCCCTCCTAAATTATAGCACCGCATTTATTCATTAGGTTTCTTGAAATGCCACATCACTCTTTTTTAGATGTCATCGGTACCGTTCAATTACAAAGATCCATGATTGCTAATCATTCTTTTTTCTTTCACGGTAGGTCATTCTCACCTGAACCTATATATATATATATATATATATATATATATATGAATATCATTCGAATAAAATATGTCTCTATTTGTATTTGTTTAATATTCGAATCAAAACTAGTATTTGAATTATGTGAATTCGAATCATTATATTCGAACATGGATCACAAATTGAATTTAAAGTATTTAATTTGTTTACATTCCTTGCTATATGTTACAAATTAACAGGCCAAGCAAAATTTCATGCTCCAAGGTGCTTGCCAAATTTTTACAAGTTTGCTGAAAAATGAAACTAGCTTGCCATTAATAACAAGCTTGGTAAAACGTATCAAGCCAAAAAGAAGAAGAAAAATGTTGATTGAGTTAGTTTTTTCATGTGCCACAACGTATTTGTTCCCTCATGTTTAGTGCCACAACTCTTCTTGCATTGTGGCAGTAAACATGAGGGAACAAATACGTTGTGGCACATGAAAAAACTAACTCAATCAACATTTTTCTTCTTCTTTTTGGCTTGATACGTTTTACCAAGTAAAAAGAAAAATAAAATATTATTTTATTCTTTAACAAAAAATATTTTATTCAAAAAAAATTTTATTTTTTAAAATAAAAGTAGTATCTGATTTTTAATTATTATTTTTAAATTACATACTTACAGATATTATTTAATATTTATAAAATTAAATAGTAAAATTTTAAAAAGTATTGCAAATAGTGTACTATAATAGTATAATGAATATATGTTAGCTAAATAGTAAGTGAAGATTAGAAATGACAGTGCAAAATGAGTTCTTATACTAGTTACTACTCATATATTTAAAAATGACTTTAGCAAGCCATGTTTAACGAGTTTGGTAGGAGATGTCCACACTCATCTATCTAACATGAATTAAACTATTTGTACACTAAAAATTGTAATTCACTTTGTAACCCTGAATACATGCATCAATATTTTGTGCTCGTGTGATGACTTATATTAACACAAAATGCTAGTATAATTTTTTTTTTGATTGAACTAGAATTCTGTGTTACTCCCTCCGTTCTAAAACTTTCTTCCCAGAACACTATTCCAACTTCACGGGAATTTATATTTATTTGTGTTTTTTCATGGCCTATATGATAAAATAAAATATGCTTGTCACCACTTGTTTTGTTAAACTTTTGATGTAGTTTTTAAATATGTATATTTTATTTTTTTATTTCTATACCAATATTTAAATAAAATAGATTGAAAAAACTTGAAATTTTTCTTTGTTTTGCGCAACGGGAAGAAAGTTTTAGGACGGAGGGAGTAATATGAACCCTTAAAATGTAGGTGAATCACACTTGGGATACTTTTAGAGTGCATCCCACATCAGAAATCCAAGAGTAAAATAATCGATACATGCCTTGGAGTACAAAATGAAATACAATTTTTGATATTACACACCCCAAAATTTGTACTCATTTGTACATCAAAATGACACAAAATGTTGGTCCAATTGCTTAATCCTACATTTCATGTCCCGGTGCTGTAATATAGCTATCTAGGCGGAGCTAAGCTCAGCTAGATTGCCATCTTCAATGGCTTCTCTGCTCAACTCCTTTAAGTCAATGACGTTATCCAATATTAAATACAACCCAGTTCGAACCCCGCACCTTTCTTGCCAAATCTCTCCGTCTCCCCCAAGTATTTCTCGATCCTTATGATTTATTTCCCTCTTTCCTTCAATTGCGTTTTTGTGGGTTTTTATTTCTTGTTTTGATAAAGAATGCACTTTTTATTGCCAAAGGGAGGAGGCTTTTGGTAAGAGCAATCGAGACCGACAGTCAAGGTAAAAACCCTGAGTTCTGGATTTGAGTTTCTTGGAAAAGAATGGCGTTCATCTCCTTTTTTTTGGTCCGTTCTTCTTGTAATGGGGTTTTATTTTGGGTGCATCTTTCCAGCAGTTGAAGCTAAGGTCCCGGATAAGGCACCATCGGCCAGTGGCTCTGGCATAAATCAAATTCTGGGCATCAAAGGTGCCAAGCAGGAAAAGGTGAAAGCTCCATTTTTTTTCTTAATTAGTTATTAATGAAATTCTTGGGGTTTCTGAGTAATAATACTACGGATTCCATTGCCTTTCTTATCAAGACAGTTACATTTGAGTTGTGAAAGTTGAATGAATGCCCACATTGCTTGAAGAGTCAAGAGTGAAACAGTCTTTCCTAATAGTTTTTCCCATCAAGCCTCACTTTTAGAACTATTTTAGCACTGGGTTTAAAAAATGATCATATAACTAATTTTAGCACTTGTAAATTCTAATTTTGAAACCAATGGAGATTGCTCATAAAGTGTGATGAAGTTTATGTGATGGAATTGCCACATTAAGCATTCAGTGTCTAACATGAAGGAGCTACCTTTAAAAACCTTTGTTTTAGATAAGCTATTCTAATTAAATGTCTGGTGTTTCTATAGAAGTAAAGAAAAAGTGGAGTGTTCACTGTTCACCATCAAAATGCCTGTTTTAGAATTTTAGGTTTTTAGGAGAGCGTAGAAGTTATCAGGGCTTCTAGTTGTCGGCCTAGTTCCCAAAACAAGGATGATTTTCATGCTTTTTCTTTTGCCTAAGGGCGCCTATTCTCTAGGCTGCGACCTATGCCGGTTTTTACACCATCGAATTCTGCCATGTTAATATCTTTGCGAACAAGCCCTTGAGGATTAGATGTTTGGTGTATTCCATATTAGAAGCTCCATTTCATAGTATGCTGGTGGAAAATATGCATTCCAAAAATAACATTATTTTTTGCCATGTCAGCATTGAAATATGTCATGTAGAGATGTAATTTTTGACTTGAAGCAGTCTGCTTTAGCACTTATGATATGATCTGACATATTCATAAGGTCTTTTTTCTCACAAATGGACAATAATTAAGAAAAAGAACAAATTTTACACTTTCACTAGTTTGATTTTTAGCATCTCCATCCGGATTGGCAGTTAGAAGGTTAAAAAACAAAGGATGAAGTTATAGAGAAAGCTAGAAGGTTAGTAATTTGACATTTCATAATTTGCTCCTTTACAGGACATATGGAAGATTCGTGTACAACTAACTAAGCCTGTCACTTGGCCTCCTCTTATCTGGGGTGTGGTGTGTGGTGCTGCTGCTTCAGGTACATCCTTTGTGCATTCTCTCAAGAGTTGATTGTTAGGTGGTGAAGAAGTCCATTTATTCCTTTTGTTGGTTACGCTCACGGTTTAATAGATAGCTACTATCTATTAACGGAAGTATATTTCCGTAATAATTTGTTCATTATTTGTGAATATTTCCGTAATAAGTATTATTATGTTTCCTTATTTTATTATGGCAAGAGATATTCTTCATTGGGAAGTGCCCGAGTTGTGGGTTATCTGAACATATAGCAGCCTTGTACTCTCTCCTTCCCCCAAAAGGGTTCCACAATGGAATCGGCACAATTTTTAAGATATGTGAAGTTATGTGGTTGAAAGTAGTGTGGAGGAGAGAGAAATAATATGAGCCACAATTTTTTTTTTCAAAAATGGAAAGCGGATCCTTTTTTATGCTCCGCATAGACAAAAAAAGTAATGTGGAGCCTTTTAATGGAACAGAGAGAGTGTGTTGCAAACATTCGTTCAGAAATGTACAAAAAAATTTCCTGAAATAGCATTCTTAACATTATCTTTTAAAGAGTATCCCACATCGGAACTTGAATAGAAATTAAACCGGTATATAAGATCTCGAGTTGAACTAAGTAATTGATTGGATTAAATCTTTTAATATTCTTTCAGCACAAGTTTCTTATGGCACAGTCCAATAATCCTTACCCCATCCTAAATTCTGTCGTTATCCATTCTGTATCACTCATTGATCATTATGGAACACTTCTTAAAGGGAATTTCCATTGGACGCCTGATGATGTAGCCAAATCAGTTGCTTGTATGCTAATGTCTGGTCCTTTCCTTACGGGCTTTACACAGGTAAGTGAGCTCTTTGCTGCTGCAATGGTGATTTTTGATACGAAACATCACTCCATTAATCTAACCATGGTAATTCTTTTTTAAATGATTAGACACTTAATGACTGGTATGATAGAGAAATTGATGCTATTAATGAGCCATACCGTCCAATTCCCTCGGGGGCAATATCTGAGAATGAGGTTCCCCTTTGATTTACTCCATATATATTCAATACTTTCATCATCATTACTTCCCAATATCATGTGCATTCATATTTCTTGTTTTCACTCTGAGGATGGTTGCTTTCCTCAGGTTATCACACAAATATGGGTGCTGCTTTTAGGAGGCCTTGGATTGGCCGGTTTGTTGGATGTGTGGGTAGGTGGTCTTAAAAGTTGCTTAATTTTCTTTAATCTCCCCTGGAACATACTGAGAAGTTGCTCCTTGTAGGCAGGACACAATTTTCCGGTTATATTTTACCTTGCTCTTGGTGGGTCCTTTCTGTCCTACATATACTCAGCTCCACCGTTGAAGGTATAGTTCTCTCATTTATTTCAATAACTGTTAAATATCAAGATTGCTTAAGCCTAGAGCCCGTATTTTCAAATATTCTGCTGTGCAGCTCAAACAAAATGGATGGGTAGGCAACTTTGCTCTAGGGTCGAGCTACATCAGTTTGCCCTGGTATGCTTCTATACTACACGCATTTTGCATAGAAAGAGAACCTTTTTTTTTTACTACTACGTGTAAAAATGACTTGCACGTCCAAAAAAATACAAGAGAAATAATGAGTTTATAATGCTACGAGTTTTGTTAGTTGGATTCAATCGTTTACTCAATTCAACTCATGGAACACTTTTTTGTACTTAGCAATATAGCATCTTAGCTTTCTTGGCACAACTCTTTCAATTTTTTGGTAATACAGGTGGGCAGCTCAAGCTTTGTTTGGAACCCTTACACCAGACACTGTTGTTCTTACACTATTCTATAGCATTGCAGGGGTAATATGGAACATTTTTTTTCATCACATTTTAAGCAGAAATTTCGATACACAAAAAATAAAACACGTAATGAACTGTGCAACCATCCATTTCAGCTTGGCATAGCAATTGTGAATGACTTCAAGAGCATTGAAGGAGATAGAGCCATGGGACTTCAGGTTCCTTATGACATAAAATGCTTGAAGTTATTTATCTAACAACGGTTTTGACCTCCATATCTTCTTCGTACATTATCAGTCAATTCCTGTAGCTTTTGGGCCTGAAGCTGCCAAATGGATTTGCATTGGTGCCATCGATTTAACCCAACTATCTGTGGCTGGTACTGGATAGCAACTTATGCAACATATTTTTGCCTTCTTCTCCTATTATGCTCATCAAACATTCTTTGCAGGCTATCTTCTTGGTGTTGGGAAACCATATTATGCATTATCGCTCCTTGGTTTAACCATACCACAAATATTTTTCCAGGTAAACTGTACTGCCTCTGCCTCTTTAGTTCAAATTACACTGTGGAGGAAGTCTATTTTTCCTAAATAATGTTTGTCGTTTTTTTGTTCTTGGACCTCTTTTTTTACTCTCACCGACACTTATTGGTTTGATGTTGCAGTTCAAATACTTATTACAAGACCCTATTAAATATGACGTAAAGTATCAGGTACACTTTTCTTCTCACTGCAAGTAAACGTATAAACATTTCAGCAACTTGTTTGCAAAAGAAAAAGGAAGAAAACCTGCTTGCAATGTGCGTATTTAGCAGGCGAGAATTGTTTTTGGTCGAGCCTTGAACGTGTGGTTCAAACTCGTGGCCTGTAGTCTTGCAAGACTCTGTGTCAAGAAACCAAATCAACCAAAAGCTCAAACTTGTGATTGCGGGCACTTGAAAGTTTTTATACTCTAATAGAACTTACCCCATTTTGTTTTGTTGCAGGCGAGTGCACAACCATTTCTTGTACTCGGTCTCTTAGTTACTGCATTAGCAACTAGTCATTGAGTTTCGTACGCTCCAAACAACAACAAAATGGGAGCGATTGGAGCCAATTCAAATAGGGAGCCATGGAAATGGAGCCAATTCACGACGCTCGTTTGCTTACCTTTTGATGCTGCGTGCATTATATTGTTCAAAGTAGGGCTAGTTTTCTTCATTGTTGCTCCTCATCAACCATCACGCAGCTGCCCCTCCTGGACCGTTTTAGCTAAACAATACTAGTTATCTGGATTGTTAAAGAATTGTATTTTCTATTAATAAGAAAATTGATATTATCAGTTTATCTAGCAAAAAAATGTCAAAATTATTTTACTGTATTACTGCATGATGTAATTTTAATTGATAATCAAAGTTTGTCCAATAGTAAAAAATAAGTCAAATGGAACGAACAAAATGGAACGGAGTTAGTACGTGCTTTATTATACTTGTGCAGTTGTGCATCCTTTAACTTTCACACTTCCCTTGGTTTTTTGTCCTAAAATAAATTCACACTTTCCTATTTTTTTATAGAAAAAACGTGTCTTACCATATTTAGCTTTTATAATACGAGTAAATTTTATTCACACAATTTTTTTTCAGTTTTTAGTATTTTTCTAAAACTTTGATAAGTTAAAGCTTGAAATCCTTTGCATGTTTGAGGTAGTATTTTCTATTTTTGCTTTAGAGTGAAATTGGAACTAAGCAATATTTCTTCCGTTATAATTTAAGTTGCATTTTTTACATGGTCAAACTTTAGTTAATTTTTGTCAAATAGTTTAAATTAGCCAGATCCGGCTTATTGCCCTTCAATGGGCTATGATGAAAAGCTAAGTCACAAAACTAGTAACTAAAAATAATCATACAAGTCATTGGAAAGTTTGTAGGCAATAGTTTTGTAGTCTAATTGTTATTAACCCGTAATATTTTGTAGAGAGAAAGCATGGGGAGAGTATAGTGCTATAAAATACTAGAACTCGAATCACCTTCATTGAGAGAAATACATTGTTATTTATAGGCAAAAGCTATGATAGCTATTGTAAACTTGTGGTGTCTACTCTAACCAAGTGATCAATCCTTCCATATCCTTGATTGACTAGCCACCTTGGCTTCTAGCTATTAGATTATATTCTTTGAACTAAAGTGTCTTGACTTCAACGTTACATCACTGATTGTTGGTCCCTGGTGATCTGCCAAAATCTCATCATCTGGGCTATAGCCGTAGGCGGAGTTACATCCACATCCCCAAGTTACATGCTCTCAACACGATACAAATTTCTTACGTACCATATGTTCTTGTCCTGGATGTCGCATACTCGCATCTCAAGGCTTGGCGTGACCTATATTCTCCCTGGGATACTAGACATAAATCGTTAGCTTGGTCAATCTTACGTTTATCCCTAAAAAACTCAGTCTATTCTCTCTACACACACGAGAAGATATTTCTGTGTTGATTAAGTCAACTTTAAATTTATATCTATTAGGTTTTCCACCCGGTCATGTGAATGGAATCACCTAGAGAAAGAAGTACTATTTGAATCTCCATTTATGAGTTCTCCACTTTTGTGTTGAGCCAAAATATAAATAAAGTGGGAGCTAGAGAGTAAATACTAAGGACGTATCAGCCATTTTGCCCACTTTTATCTCCATTTCCCATTAAAAGTCAGACAAACCAAAAGTCAGAGTAAGCCTTCTATAAATGAAACAAAGTCAACACAATAAACTTGAGGCCAATATAGACTACCGTAGAGAGAGAATTACATGGAGCAAATAATAGAAATATTTGCACCAAAACTTAAGTCATTTTTCTAAATAACACTTAAATTGTTTTATCTTAAATAACACTTAATAATATCCATAATATCCTGTGATGGCAGATATTTGCTTGAATAATGACTAAAAGTGATATATTGAGAAAAAAATACATGTAGTGCTATTTCGGGAAAGTATTATTTTAGTGGGGAAATTTCTCCAAATAATAATACCCACGTCCATTCCTCCACAGAGCTAAACAATGCGCCCCCACATTTACTTGGATGTGCTTATCCTACAACTTGTTGCTCCCATTCTCCCGCCGGTACATTCACCCGCCGCCGCCCAAACCCCGGCCACAACCACTACTGGCATCACGAAGCCCGGCTGCCCGCAAAAATGCGGAAACCTGACCGTCCCCTACCCGTTCGGTGTCGGTCTAGGATCGGGTTGCGCTCTAAACCCGAGCTTCGAGATCAAGTGCAACAAATCTTCCTCCACCAATAATCCCCCGACGCCTTTGATATGGAACCTCAAGGTTTACGACATCTCCGACTCCGAAGTTCGGGTCTCCACCTCCGTCTCCGCCAAATGTTATGCCCCTACCGGGGCCCTTCTCGGGCAGTTTCTGTACCGGACCAACCTCGGCCAATCGAGCCCGTACACTTTCTCCGATAAAAAGTTCACCGTCATCGGGTGCGACGACGCGGCGGTCTTGTCGGGCAGCAACCCCCTGACCGGGAAAACCTTTGACAAAGGCTGCCCCGTCGCGTGTGCAAAGCCAGAGGCAGTGCACGGCGGAACCTGTGATGGTTCTGCCGGGTGCTGTCAATTCTCAATCCCGAAGGGGTTGAGGTATCTGAACGTGAGCACGATGGTCACATCGGCCGGGCACGCCCAAATGTGGTCAAGTAACCCGTGCGGGTACGCCTTCCTCGGGGAAGAGGGCGGGTTCGAATTCCGCGGATTGGATGACCTGAAAGATCTGAATTTCAGCCGGCGGGTGTTGGCTAGCGTACCCGTCGTGCTGGACTGGGCGATCGGAAACCTGACGTGCGAGGGAGCACGAAAGAAGGAGGACTATGCGTGCGTAGAAAAAAGCCATTGCGTTGATATGGACAATGATACTGGAGGTTACCGCTGCAAGTGCGACGATGGTTATGAAGGGAATCCCTATATTCCTCATGGCTGCCAAGGTACATAATTGAATTTCAGTATCATCATTTAGTTTGCTTATTATTTGGTGTGTAGAAACTACTGGAATGGGCTGAGGTGTTTGGATGGTTTAAAGTCTTTAATAATTAGCTATTTGGTGTTTTTTTATAGATGTGAACGAGTGTGAAAATTCAAATGATAATCCGTGTGAAAAGATATGCACAAACACGCCTGGAAGTTATACGTGCTCTTGTCCGGATGGGTACACTGGTGATGGTAGAAAGAATGGACATGGTTGTGTTGAAACTCATTCGAATTTCCCATGGATCAAGTTTTCTATTGGTAGGTATTTACTGCACATTACCCTTTTGTTTTTAAAAAAAAATATAGTTCCAATTTCGCAAATTTTAAAATTCTATGATTTCCCCCCGAATTTTGTGATTGAACCATGCCAAAATTGCAGGTCTGGGGATAGGCTTTTTGTCCGTGGTTGGCGGAGTAACATGGCTATACTTATTCATCAACAAAAGAAGACTCGCCAAACTTCGAGAAAAATTCTTCCAACAAAATGGTGGTTTGATCTTGAAACAGAGAATAGCCACTGCATCAGACAGCGGCGGCGGTGTAGAAGCTGCTAAAATCTTCTCCGCCGAGGAGCTGCAGAAAGCCACCAACAACTACTCGAGTGACCGGGAAATCGGCCGAGGGGGAAACGGCGTCGTTTACAAAGGAATCCTACAGGACAACCTTGTCGTGGCCATTAAGAAATCCAAAACAATGGACGAGAGCAAAATCGAGGAGTTCATCAACGAGGTTGTCATCCTCACTCAAATCAACCATCGTAATGTGGTCAAACTCATAGGTTGTTGTCTAGAGGCTGAAGTTCCTTTGTTAGTCTACGAGTACGTCTCCCATGGGACTCTTTACGATCACATCCACAAACATGATGGCTCCTCTTCCTCTACTTGGTTGTCTTGGCAAAACCGTTTAAGAATAGCTACTGAAACAGCCGGCGCACTCGCCTACCTCCATTCATCCGCGACGATGCCCATATTCCATCGAGACATAAAGTCGGCCAATATATTGCTAGACGATAACTATGTAGCCAAAGTGGCTGACTTTGGCGCATCTAGATTAATCCCTTTGGACCAGACACACATAGCCACTTTGGTCCAAGGGACATTTGGGTATTTGGACCCAGAGTACTTCAGAACAGGCCAACTGACTGCAAAGAGTGATGTGTACAGTTTCGGAGTGGTTCTCTGTGAACTTCTAACCGGGATGAAGCCGGTGTCTAGGGAGAGAAGCGAGGAGGATGCGAATCTGGCGTCCCATGTGGTGATCTCCATGAGCAAGAATCAATTGTTCAAAATTTTGGATCGTCGGGTTTTAAGGGAAGGGGCATTGGAACAAGTGGAGAGTGTTGCGGAGGTTGTGAAGCGTTGCCTACACTTGAATGGCGAAGATAGGCCTACGATGAAGGAAGTGGTTATGGAGCTTGAGAGGTTGAGGAAGTTCAACAAAGAGCCATGGAGTCGTACATCCCAAGTGCCGCATGATGGGACAATGGCTGATCAAATAAACGGTCGAGATGGGGGGTTGTCAGACCTCTACACGCTTCAGTTGAACTCCACCACTTTCACTAGTGAGTACTCCGGTCAACACACTTCTCCCAATGATTCCAACGCTTGATTATTTCTCAACGAATCCTAGCTCGTCCATGATGACCAAGACAATTGTAACTATTTTCCCACAGCTTTTCCAAATAATGTACTATGCCTAAGGTCGCATTTTTGTTTAAGCTCATTGGTAATTCATTTTCTACCATCATGTTCCACTATTTTTGCATTTTCGCTTTACATACTTATCAAAAAACTAAATTTTAATACACTCTCTGCCCAAAAAAATTTATTCCCGTTGCGCGTTATGATATCAATGTTTGAGAAAATTATTTTCAAATCATTTTTTAAATGAAAAATGGTAAAATTTAAATATAAAAATTATATATTTAAAAATATATCAAAAGTTCTACAAAAGTAGAGGTGACATGATTATACATTTTATCAAATGAGCAACAAAAGTAGGCCCCCACAATGTATATAGAGTTTGACTGTGTTAAAAGTGAATGGAAAGATAGTTTTTGTGCCGTAGTAGATATATTTTTCTCTTAGGTATAGTACTACACTAATGGGGCTCGAAGGTACTAAAAAGGATTAATATTTCTCTTGTAAATAGAGAAGACAATGCCAATGGGGAATACTACCAGGTGGTCTTGTTCATAGCGCAAGTTCTAGTGTACCTCTGGTTGTACTATTCTTCCTATAATGCCGAAGCCAATTTCAAAGAATATGGAGGGTGACCCGTACATGGAGAAAAAAGGTCTTGTTTGAAATTTAGCTGTTGGATGTTGGCTGACAACTGCTTTTGTTGGCTGGTTTGAACTATTGATTTAACCAATCAATTATATATATGAGATGGACTCCAATCAGATTTAATTTGTTTGACTTTGTTAACTAACTTTGATAAGTCTTTCAAAATCAAATTGGTATATATTTGAAGATAATTATTATTGTAAAAAAACATGTTATTTTGGGATTTAGCATCTCCAAAGATTCTCTTAACAAAAAAAGTATAGTAGTTGGTTTAAAAAATAAAGAACATAATTGACTTAAATTGTTTAGTCTTGATTTGAAAATAAAATATTTGGTTGTCATTTTAACTGCTTAGGAAAAAAACAATGTAGTGATTTCAATTCAAAACATATGAATCAGAAAAACACTTAATCAAGGGTTAAAATGATCTCTTTTACAAAAAGGTACATATATTATTGAAAAAAATTTGAAATGCACTCATTAATTTCATTCTTTACCTTAGAAGAATTTCGGGGATGAAATTCCTTCAAGAAGATATAAATTTATTTGAAATGCACTTATTAAATTTGTTTACTCAAAAATATGAGTTATTTGTAAAGTTGTCTGTTTTAAATAAAAATTAGATTTCGGGTAGGGTTCGTGAAATGGTGACCAACGGTATAAAATTTGTTAAATTTGAATATACATGTAAAGTGCGATAAGTAATATAGACATTACAGTTTAATAAATAAATATAAATAGTTTATAATAAAATAATAATTATATTTCCTAAAGACTAGGGGTGAGCGTGGTACGGTATAGTACGGTATTTAGCTTGTACTGATATCGTACGAAATATTTTGATTCGGTATGGGATTTTACGTTGTACCGATCCCGATCCTGAAGCATCGGTTCGGTATGGTTCGGTATCTGTTTCGGTACGAATCGGGATGAATATATACGTACCTAGTTTACATCATAAAATGTAAAAATCCTTTATTTTTGAAAAATTGAAAGTACATTTAACCAATAAAAGATAAATAATTTAAAAAAGAAAAAATAAAATACCAGAAATTCTTATGGAAGTTAGTTTATATTTCACAAACTAAAGAGAACGAGTGATAACAAAGTATTATTTCAAATATTTGGTAATATTCTTATACTCATCTACAAAAAATAAAAAACTCTTATTAAAGTGCAACTTAAACATAATGAAATTAAACTAAATTATCTATATAAATTTTTTATTTAATGAAGAAATATAAAAAGATTATTATTTTTATAGTATATTAGTATATATATGTTCGATTCGGGAATTTCGGTATGGGAAGTAACCTCGTACCGTTCCCAAATACCGGACCGACCGTTCGATTCAGTACGGTTCGGTTTCTTTTCGGTACTTTATCGGTTCGGTATTTTTTGGTTCGATATTCTCGGTTTTTTGGAAAATATCGGGATCGGTTCGGTTCTTGCTCACCCCTACTAAAAACTATTCCTACTCTTACTCGAAGAAGAACACGGAACCCTTCCCCGCTTACTTTATATAATACACACACGCACACACTCCCAAAGAAACAAGAGAAGGAAAGAAAGATAAAAAAGACAAAAGGAACGGATAAAAGAGCATAGCACAGCTGCAGAACAGATGCGGAGCACGTCACGATCGTTGTCGGCCAGCTGCACACCGTCGCCGCTGCCCGTGATCACCAGGGAACGGACGGCCGCCACTGTTCGCCTTTTTCGTCTGTTTAATTTGTTTAATACGTCAGTCAATCGAGTTGAGTACGTGGACATCTAACGCTAGATTATGTATATAGATTTGAAATTCACGTCCGTAGTTTCGTATGATTCATTATGTGGTTAATTTGGTAACAATTAAATTATGATTTATTTATATTATATGATATTATTGGAGTTGATTGAACATGGATGACCATGTATGTCTTTACACCAGACACTAGACCGCTAATTGAGTTGTATGATTTATCATCTGATTAATGTTATATTTCTTGTTATAATTAAATATAGTCCTGTTGTGTTTAGAAGTAAATAAGGAATTTAGATTGATGTAGGAATAAGTCTGAATTGTAGAGATGTTGTAAATAAATGATTAGGCTACCTAGGGGAACTCTAGGACTGCCTTAGTAAGATTATAAGTGTAAAATGTCAATAGCTAGAATCAGCCATGTTAAATGATATCTGGCGGCTGCGGGTTAAAACGTACGTACGGGATCCACAAACTGTCGTTCCGAAGGGGACAAGGGTATCACTCACCCAGCAGAGAACTCCTTCGTTGGCCATCAAGTTATGTTGTGTCATAAGGTGTTGAATAAGGTAGACTTGAGTCATGGTCATAGGTAGTGGCTCTAAGTTCGAAAATAAGGTTATAAATGAGGAAGTATGGTAATAGCTAGTAATTATGTTATGTGCTATAAATAAGGATGAATAAGGTAATGAATTATGACTTGTGAATTTATTTAATGATTGTTATGTGATATTATACTGTATACTTGTGTGCATGATATTGTATGAAGTTATGAGCTAATGAGTTCGTCTATGTGCGTAGTCGAAACATTAGATATTTCTCACTTAGATTCAATACTGAGCGTGTAGCCCATTTTTCCTATTTTATACACGTAGGTAGCATGAATGATGATTAAGGAACTATCCTGGAGGGCAGCGAGGGCGGAAAGGAGGATGGATGTTGGCTGGAGAAGTTATCTAGTTTATTTATTGCATTTCAATTTATTATGGGCAAGAACCCAAAGATGTATTTTGAATTAAGTATTTAAGGCTTCCGCACCGTTTTTGTTAACTCCGATGTTTGTTAGGAATAATGTTTTGATTAAATGTTTTTAAATTGTTTTGAAAATTATTGTGTTTGATATCAATTTAGTAACAACCTGGTTCGCTAATTCGTTGGTTTGGGTTACGCGGGTTGGGGTGTTACACTAAGGACCGAGTCATAGTGCAGTTTTGGATTGCGAACAAGAGTCACACCTACCACGTCCTTGGGATGATGGACTTTGACAAAATTACTCAAAAGAACCCGCATCAGGGCAAGCTCTGGATCCTTGATCTGGGGAGAATCTGGTTGCCAGTGCTTAGGGCTGGTGGTCTTGAAGGACATTTCGAATAAATTGAGGGAGAAATTGGATATTGGAGACAGAAATTACAGGGTAAAGATCTGAGTTTGAAGAGGGAAAATGAAGAAGAGAGGAATATTCGTCCTTGATGGGCGTTTATAGATGTTACGTTACATCACGCGACCCGATATACTATGCGAGAGGCGGTTGTGCTTTTTCTGATTCGACACGGGATCCAAAGACTTCTCATCATTAGTTTTTGAGTGATACATCACTAAAGAAACTAGGGGACTTGTGGTGGATATCAGACCGAGTGAGTAGAGCGGGTAGGCCCAAACGTGTTGTTTCAAGCCCAATCTGAAACATACCTGACCGAAGTAAGAATGGAGTACCAATCCTAATGATCGTGAGTAATTAACGACTTGTTCTCTGCCCACAATTGAGACACGTCATGCCAATCATGTTGAGAAAGTTGGACACGATTTAATACCATGTATGCAGCAAAGTTAGACTTTAAATAGGGGATGAAATATCCATCGTAATGGAAACTAAAGCAAGCTAATACACGTATTACTGAGATCATATTTTCTGAGTGTTTATCATTATTTTTTGAAATTTTTGCCCATTTTATTCGCACCTCTATAATTGGTCGGCTCAATTCCATCATGTAGATTTGGTTCTTGGGTGCAAATTGGATTTATTTCCATTTTAGATATGATTTTAGATTCATGGTATATTTCGTTTTAAATTAATTAGTTCTGGGATACAATTTATGTTTTCTATTTTGAATCTTATTTTTTTTGAATTTCATTTTCCTTTTAGAATTTGATTTCGTTTTTTGTGTAGTGCATAAGATTCACAGCCGTTTTAGATTTGGATTTCATTTTTTTAAGATTCGATTTTATTTTTTTAGATTTTGTTTTTGTTATAGTGCAAAAGAATTTGATTTGCTTAGTCTTCCTCCGTATGGGTGATATAGTTTCTTCTTGGGTTGATCACAAGAGTCTAGGGGTATTTTGGGATGAAAAGTAGTGCAAATAGATTTTTCGTTGCATCGTTTAATACCAAAAACTCCCAATGAAAAAGTGATGAGAAAGAAATGGGATGAAAATGAGAAAAGTAAAGAGCGAGTAAAGTGGTAGAGTAGGAATGTTGTGTCCACATAGATAACGAGATTGGTTAGGAATCGAGTGCAAAGTACAACTAAATAATAAACACTAATATTTAATTGTTATATGTGAATCAAGGTCTGATAGAAGGAGAACAAAGTGAATCATATGCAAGAGAATAGAACTAAAATGAAATGCAAGAGACAAATGAAAGTAAGAGAAAATCACCCTGATTTCTTTTCCATGGAAATTGGGAAAGATTTTTCTAGGTAAGAACCCACTTCCATAGCGCTCATATTAGAATAACTACAAACAAATCAAGCAAATTTTCAAGTTTACTTCACTTTCGTGGTAGGACATGAGATGGAGACTTACAGTTAGGGTTCTAAATCCTGATTCATTGGTGATTTAGAAACCATTCTTGAATACACGTAAACCATCATAGACAAAAAGACATACAAAGTATAAATAAAGCACAATCTCCACAAACAACCTAGATCAATATTTCACAATTCACAACAATCTAATGACAATGAGCACAAATTAGCAATCCATCACCAACCTACGCTAGAAAAAGTTTACTTAGTCTAGCATGCTAAAATCTAAATGACGCATAAAAGATAAGAGAGTATCAAACAAAATAGAAAGCATAGATGAGAACCAATAAGATAGAATCTAAACTAAGAAGCAAGTAAATAATTGTAAAGAGTAAAATCTAAATGTTGGAGTGCCAAATTAAAATGACATATGAAGAAGATGAAGAAAATCTAGTCTAAGAATATGAAAATGAAAATGGGCTAGGAAAGCTCCAACAAAGAATTGAAAATGCGGGAAAGATTTTAAAATTTTCTTCATCAACCAATAGCTAGCTAGGCTTCATGGAGAAATGTGGTGTTGGAATCATTGGGAGAAGTGTATTGAACAGAGTACTCACTAGTAAAAGTGGTGGAGTTCAATTGAAGCGTGTAGAGGTCTGACGCCTCATCCAGAGCGTTCATTTGACCAACCATCGTCACATCATGTGGCACATGGGATCCATGACTCCATGGCTCTTTGTTCAACTTCTTCAACCTCTCAAGCCCCATAACCACTTCCTTCATCGTAGGTCTATCTTCGCCATTCTTGTGTAGGCATTTCTTTGCAAGCTCCGCAACACTCACAACTTGTTCCATCGCCCCTTCCCTCAAAACTTGACGATCCAAAATTTTGAACAATTGATTCTTATTCATGGAAAGCACCACATGGGCCGCCAAACCCGCATCCTCCTCGTTTCTTTCTTTAGATACCGGCTTCATCCCGGTCAGAAGCTCACAAAGTACCACTCCAAAACTGTACACGTCACTCTTTTCAGTTAACTCGCCCGTCCTGTAGTACTCAGGGTCCAAGTACCCAATTGTCCCTTGGACCAAAGTGCGTCTGGTCTAAAGGGATTAATCTAGAAGCGCCAAAGTCTGCCACTTTGGCGACATAGTTATAGTCTAGCAATATATTGGCTGACTTTACGTCTCGATGGAATACGGGAATGGCCGCGGATGAATGGAGGTAGGCGAGTGCACCGGCTGTTTCAGTAGCTATTCTTAAACGGTTTTGCCAAGACAACCAACTAGAGGAAGAGGAGCCATCATGTTTGTGGATGTGATCATAAAGAGTCCCATGGGAGATATACTCGTAGACTAACAAAGGAACTTCGGCCTCCAGACAACAACCCATCAGTTTGACCACATTACGATGGTTGATTTGAGTGAGGATGACAACCTCATTGATGAACTCTTCAATTTTTCTTTCGTCCATTGTCTTTGATTTCTTAATGGCCACTATACGGTTGTCATGTAGGATTCCTTTGTAAACGACACAATTTCCTCCCCGGCCAAGTTCTCGGTCATTCGAGTAGTTGTTGGTGGCTTTCTTCAGCTCCTCAGCAGTGAAGATTTTTGCCGCTTCTACGCCGCCACCATCTGATGCAGCCATTCTTTGCTTCAAGATCAAACCACCATTTTGTTGGAAGAATTTTTCTCGAAGTTTGACGAGTTTCCTTTTTTTAACGAATAAGTATAACCATGCTACTGCGACAACTAGTGACAAAAGGCCTATCCCCAAACCTGCATTTTTTGTATGGTTCAATCAAAAAAATTGGGGGAAAATCACAAAAGTTTAAAAAATGTGAAATTGGAAATATAGTTTTTAAAAACGGTATAGTGTAGTAAATAATATATTACCAATAGAAAACTTGATCCATGGGAAATTTGAATGAGTTTCAACACAGCCATGTCCATTCTTTCTACCATCACCAGTGTACCCATCTGGAGAAGAGCACGTATAGCTTCCAGGAGTGTTTGTGCATATCTTTACACATGGATTCTCATTTGGATTTTCACACTCATTCACATCTAAAAAAATATCAAATATTTACTTCATTTTGACTTTTCACAATCTCCAACATAATATTTTCTTCATTAATATCTTATTTATATATAGATATATCTTATAAATATAGTATGAATCTATTTCAAAATTACATCTAAAATGAACTTATTGGTAATAATTCTTCATCATAGTTCAAGTTATCTTTCGGTACTTTATGGTCAAAGTTTAAAAATATCGATTACCAAGATCAAAAGTGTAAAAAAATAGTTCCTCTGTCTTAAAACATTCTTCATGTTTCGGTTTACGAAGTTTGACTTAAATTATTTTTAATTCAATTATTTGATTATATGTATAAAATTTAAAACTAAAAATTATATATTGAAAAACTATATATAAAGCTCTACAAAACTAGAGGTGATATGACTAAATTATTTTATCAAGAATATACTAAGAGTCCACCCCACGATAATAATCGTATATGATTTTGTACATACACAGATGATAGTCATCTCTATCCACTAATGATTATCGTTTGTGTATGCATCAATCATCCGTGATTGTCATCCATGGTGGCAACGGTGGTAGATTCTTAGCATTGCTATTTTATGAAATGATGAACGAAAATGGGTAAACAAAGTGATTAAGTTTGACCATGTGAATAATAATTGGGAAGAAAGTTTTAAGACGAAGAGAGTATGAAATGAACAAATAAAGGAAGTAATTTTTAGAGATGCTATAAACTTCCAAATGCTTCAGCCCATTACAATAGTTTGTATGCTAGTAAGGCTCTCTTCATTTGGATTGGAAAACTTAACTCCTATTAGGAACAATAGGAAAAAATACTGTTATTAATTGATTTCCTTACTCCATTACTTCTAATTGTTATTCTACTATATGATTAGGATTTTCTATTGTAATCTATATATATAGAGGTCGAACCTTGATTATCATATAACACCAATTATTATCAAATTGTATCATGGTATCGGATTGTCCCGTTGTTGATGCACCCTACGCAACTAGGAGATGCACCAATTTGATATCAATAATGCCTATATTCATGGGGATCTCCTTGAGGACGTAGGGGTGGGAAAGAATCCCAAACCGTTGTCCCGACTCGAAATATCTCAGTCTCATCCCTATAATGTTTCGTTTTGTTAGGGATGACAAATTTTTTTCCCGAACCCGTCCCGAACTGTTAAAATATGAGACATGATTGTTACACATACATAATTTCTCGTTCCGTCTCGTTGTTTATTTATATAATGATATAACACAAAAAAATATCACAATTCTTGTTTTTCCCAAAATAGATATAAAAAGTATCCATATTCCAATATTCTATAAAAATGGAATAGGACCGGAACACCAAAAAATCCAAACTGTTCTAACCCCGCCCACTCCAATTTATGGCTCATAGTTAAAATGAAGCTTATAGTCTTGACTTTTGACGTATGTTGTAACATTTTTTCATGTTTCCTTATTATTTTCGATTTTTAAAAAACATTTTAAATAAATTCAAAGTATATCATTTTTTTCATTACTTTACAAGTCAAAGTGAGTTGCCTCCCCCCTTATGTATTTTATATTTTTATATCAAATTTCGGATAATGACAAAGTAGGAACACCCAAACCCGTTCCATTTTATTTTGATCCTAAATATTAAGAGACAGAGAGGGATAAGCTTGTGGCCAAACTGTTCCGAACCATTTGAAAAAGAACGAGACAAAACGCGGGATGGTATAAAAACTTGAACCGTCCCAACCCGTATCCACCCCTACGAGGATGTTTACTAGCGGCTTCCTCCAGGCTATTCTTCTCTAATTCAAGGAAAAGTTTGTTGTTTACAAAAATCCTTCTATGGCTTGTGACAATCTCCCTCGAACAAGGTTGTTAAGCTTACAATAATGGATTTTGGCAAGCTCATACAGGCCATACCCTCTTTGTTTGATGTATTGGACCAGATATTTTAGTTGTCTTGGTCTATGTTGATGATATTCTTATTGTAGTAAACAATCAGACCCTTTGCTCCTCATTCAAGAAGTATTTACACAACTATTTTCATGTGAAGGAATTTTCCATATCTCCGATGGAGCCAAAATTTCACCATTTTTGGCTTTGGGGTGTGATGGAATAAATCAAAATGAATCTCTAAACTGTCTGCACTTCTTTAATTAATGAAGTAGCAGTTAGTCAAGCAATGCAACTTTTGACGTTGAGCCGGGGGTCTCTTTGTAACAGCCTCTCTACTTTCGAGCAGGGGTAAGGTCTGCGTACACACACCCTCCCCAGACCCTACTCTTGTGGGATTTAACTGGGTTGTTGTTGTTGTTTTTCATGTGTAGGAATTGGGCACATTTGTCAGAAGGTATTGTTCTTTGTCAACATAAATATGCGCCGGATATTTTACAAAAGGCAAGTCTCTTAAGGTGCAAGCCGGTGGATACTCCTATTCATCGAAATCATGATTTGTCTCGGTCTACCAGCACTGAAATAAAGGATTTGGCTTGCTATAGGCGACTAGTTGTCCATCTGATTTATCTTAATATGCCACGATAAGATTTATCTTATGTTGTCCATGTCCTTGCTTAGTTTATGAATGCACCTTGCCTTGACCATATGGGGGGCACTCTATGTGTTCTTCATTATTTGAAGGGACACCCTGGTCAAGGTATTCTTCTTCGCAGTGATAAATCACTCCGGCCAGCTCCTCGCCTACTGTGGCTCTGATTGGGCAAGTTGTCCCCTCTCGCGGGTCTGTTAGCGGTTATTTCATTTAGTTGGGTGATTCTCCAGTCTAATGGAAAACTGAAAAGCTGGCTACTGTTTTTCTTTCATCTACTGAAGCTGAATACCGATCCATGGCTAATGTTTGTGCAGAGATTAGATGGATCGGCCACATTTTGGGTGCTCTTGGTGTACCTCGTGTAGTCACTCCTCATCTTCATTATGATAATAAGTCTGTTTTATTCATCGCAGCAAATTCGGTCTTCCATGAATGCATGAAATATATTGATATTGATTAACATATAGCTCGTGAATGTGTTCAACGACGGGAGGTTGGCATGACTTATGTTCCTACACAGTTTCAACTTGCGGATCTCTTCACAAAGCCCTTGTCACGGCCTCTTTTCTCTTTTCTTCTCTCCAAGTTAGACATTTGTGATCTTCATGTGCGAACTCGAGGGAGAGTGTTAGTGTATATATTTTTTGTACAATTATTTGGGCGAAGTCACGTGTGATTTAGGTCTCGTAAATATGTGTATAAATACTTTGTTCTGTTAATGAGAAAGTTAGTTTAGGTTTTCCATATTTATACAAATAACATAATTGAGTGATTTTTTAACACTTTATTTTTCCAATGCTTTCCAACTCTTAATTTTTCCAACTTCCAGTTTTTCCAACTTTTAGTTCTTTCAACTTCTTTTAATTTTTTTTAAACTTTTTCTAATTATTTCCAACATCTCACTCTATTTTTACAGCCTAGATGAATAGAGTCTAAAAGGATTGCAGAATCTCTCAACCTCCCCTTGTGGATAGTCTTCTTCTGGGATCTTTCTCTGTCCGTTTTGCAGTCCGAGTTCACCCGACTAATCTCCATTTGCTCTGGGAGGTAAGAGAGTTGGCCTAAGAAGAACTTTCACCTGTGAGAATCGAACATTGATTTTTTACCGCACAAGGAAAAGCTCTTTTGACACTTGAGTTAGGGTGCCCACTTGGGTTGTGGATAGGGAAAAGCTCTTTTGACACTTGATGAGTTAGGTTGCCCACTTGAGTTGTGGATAGTCTTTTTTTGTACAGGTTGTGGATAGTCTAATAGGCCTTATTCTCTCTCATCTTTTATTACTCCCTCAGTTCTTCTCGTTATTGTTTACGACGTTTGATCGATTTAATTTTCAATTTAATTTATTTGATTGTAGGTGTAAAATTAAAAAAAATAAAATTTATATATTTAAAAACTATATCAAAAATTCTACAAAACAAGTGATGATAAGACTATATTATTTTATCAAATACCTAATGAAAATAGGTAAAAAAAAGTAATTAAAGTTTGATCGTGTGAAAAGTAACTGGAAAGAAAATTTTAGGACAGAGAGTATTATTTTATTCCATCATAAAAGCTCTCAACCTCTCATTGTGAATAATCTAATTGGCCTAATAATAGGTAATGACCAATTCAGTTGTTTTGGTTCTAAATTTGAGCTAAACACCAATAGTGTGAATTGAATGGTATTGATGGGCATATTGTGGAAAACTATATTCTACCGATTGAAATGCATTACTCCATCCCATAAAAAACATTTTTACATACTTATTTTGACATTTTTCTAAACTCTACTCTTTTTTTTTTCAATTGTAATCGTATTACTTATTAGGTCAAATTTCTATATCTTATCGACTGTCGGGAGTAAAGATGAGGAAAGATTTATAAGAAAAATATGCTCTATATAGGATCAAAACATAGTACTTTTCCCTTAATAGGATTAGGTATATTTTATTTCCTTTACACATAATTACATATGATCTGCCACATATGTCCTTATTAGCAAGAAGTGTTGGATAATAACTAATTATACGAATGATTGTACAAATGGTCATTAGCAAAAATTATTGGATGGGAACTGATTCTTTCAATGACTATTCAAATTGTTTTTTATAATGTCTTATTTTACTTAAATTGTGTAAGAGATCATTTTTTCTCAAAAGTAAGGCATTTTAAAGTTTTCAATTGTCAAACATTAGAGTAGATAGGTGTTAATATATATTGAATCTGTATTGTGTTTAATTTGATTGTTCAATTACTTTATTCCGTAATAACAATAGGACTTGTCCTATATAAGGAAAAGTGATATGTTTAAGTAATTATCCGATTTATAATGGCACTCGATCAAGAATCACTAGACAAATGTTAAGAGACAAACGTACCTTGGCAGCCATGAGGAATATAGGGGTTCCCTTGATAACCATGGTCACACTTGCAACGGTAACCTCCCGTACCATTGTCCATATCAACGCAATGGCTTTTCCCCAAGCACGCATAGCCCTCCCTCTCTCCTGCCCCCTCACACGTCAGGTTCCCGATCGCCCAGTCCAGCACGACGGGGACACTCGCCGACACCCGCCGGATGAAATTCAGATCACCCGATGACAGTGAACTTGTTTCTATCGGAGAAAGTGTACGGGCTCGATTTGCCGAGGTCGGTCCGGGACAGGAACTGCCCGAGTACGGCACCGGTCGGGGTGTAACATATGCCGGAGACGGAGGTGGAGACCCGAACTTCGGAGTCGGAGATGTCGTAAACCTTGAGGTTCCATATCAAAGGCGTCGGGGGATTATTGGTGGAGGAAGATTTGTTGCACTTGATCTCGAAGCTCGGGTTTAGAGCGCAACCCGATCCCAGACCGACCCCGAATGGGTAGGGGACGGTTAGGTTTCCGCATTTTTGCGGGCAACCGGGCTTCGTGACGGCGGCAGTGGTTGCGCTCGGAGTCTGGGCGGTGGCGGGGGAAAGCACCGGCAGGATAATGGAGGCAACAAGTTGCAGGAAAACTCCAGCCAAGTTAATGTTGTGGTGCATTCTTTTGATTTTTTTGTTGGCCCTTGGGGCCTAGACTCTAGTGGAGAAAAAATGTGGATGCGTTATAATTATTTTCTTCATTAATTCTTTCTATACAATAGTCTATATTGGCGTCAAGTTTACTTTGACTTTCATACTTCCTCTTCATTCATTATTAAAAAAATAAAGGTAATTTTGTTTATTGGTATCTTTTAGTTGAGTACTTGATAAAACAAAATATTGTTATCACCTTTTATTTTGAAAAATTTTTGACGAAATCTTTGAATGTATAAATTTTATTTTTTATTTTTTTACTAATCTTTAACGTTGCGTTTTGTGTAATGTGACAAACATTTTGAGATAGATGGAGAATATGATAGGTTTAATTTAACTTTTTAAAAGCAGTCTCAAAAACTAACAAATAATTAAACAAAATACACCTTTGATTATATAAAATGTCACAATGTATCTTCACATGTTTCATCATTTATTATAATATTTGAGACTCAGGCTCACAGAATGTAGACATGTGGCGGGTCTACTTGGCAAGTTTTTTATGAGTCATCCTATCCGCCACCTTTGATGACTTTAATGACTTGGCACTTTTATATTAAAATATAGAAAGATCCAATTCTAATTAATATATCTAATATATACCTTATACGGCGACTAGAATATAATTCTGAAGTTGAAGAATAAGAAGATCATTATGAGTAATTTTTAAAATTTTTTCTAATGTATTTTGATTAATTATAAGGAGTACAATGTAAAACACACCATAGTTGTTTCTATTGATAATATATGTTCAATTTATTTTTTATGTAAATTAATTATTCCATTGAATAATAATAATAATACGTTTAAGTTAGAACAAATTGAAAAGGTTAAAAAAAGAAAAAGATTATTATAGAAGTAAAATATAAAAAAAGTATCAAAATTACTTATTTTGAGTTCTACCTCAATACTTCTCCCTCCTAACTATTACTGTCATTTGAGTTTACACTCATCTTTTCTTATTGTGTATTCTAACGCCTAACATTTGATAATTTTAAAAATAATTAAAATTTTGATTCTAGGTATTTTTTTAAATGAGAAAATTACAATATCCAAAGTGGACACTTAATCATAATGTTCAATAGAGAGAGAATCATGAGTGTTTCTTTGGTGCACCTCTTGAGTACATATCATTTTTGTGGACCTTCTCACATAAAAAATATTTTTTTTATTTATAAAAACAAATGCTTATTTAAGTAATAAAGAAATACTTATTTTGGTCATATGTAGGTCCATGGTAGACCTTAAGTCCACCATAAACTTTTTCGAGAATCTTTAATATGTTTAAAACGAAATTCATTGATTGAAATAAGACTTTCAATGCGTTAAACCAACGAAAATAATTGATATAACTGTATATTGTCAAAAAATGTAAAAGGGATTAATTTTAGAATGATGACTACTTAAATAAATTGTTTTTGGGGAAACCTAATATAAATAAAAAAACCTTAATTATTTGAAGAAAATATACTACATCTGTCCCACAAAACTTTTCAAATTAGAAAAAAGGCGCACGCTAAAATTATTTATCCTACACATCATAATTTACCTTATTATAAAATAAAGGAAAAGTTAGAAAATAATATCAAAATTATACATTTTAAAGGAGTTCAGTGGTATGTCATTTCCATATGATAGTCACTTAATAGATTTCAAAATAATTTCTTGATTGAGAACTTGAATTATGACAAAGAAAAATTGTTATCTGATTTTAGAGGAGGTTTCTTTTTTGTATATGGTTACGGGAGACTTGGAAAAACATTTATAAAGAAACCAATGTCTACTTCTCAAGAACGAATGGTATGTAAGGCTGTTTTAAATGTTGCATCCAATGGCAATGCAGCATTGCTTTGCTTGGTGGAAGGACACCACACTTGATATCGGGGCCGGTCCTGAGAATTCATGTGCCTGGGCTGAAACCAAAAAAGGCCCTAGCTATTGAATTATTTCTGAAATAAAATCCAAATTTATAAATTCTATTACTTAGTAAAATCAAGTATGAAAAACTGAAAAGTAAGCAAATAAATAAGTATATTATAAACTAATATCAATTCGTCAATATTTCTTTTTCAGTTTTAATTTTTTTTTATAAATCATAAATTCATATTGATTCGTCAATTTATCAGTTTTTAATTTTTTTTTTCAGTTTTTTATATAAATATATCATAAATAACAAATTCAAATCAATTCATCCAAATCAAATAAATAACATATAGAACCATTAATTCATTCTATTTTAAAGAATGAAATTAGAAAAGATTTCAAATTAAAAACTAATAATTAATCCTAGATTTTAAATTTAAAAAATGAAACAATGAAAGAAAATTAAGATTTAAAAATAAAAATTACAAAATTGGAAAGCTATGAATAATTGAATATGGAATACCCGTGGAGGGCGGCATCCGGTGGGGTGACGACGGCGTCCTTTGTTCTGGCGTTCGGCTATTGGCTCTTCCGGTAATCCAGTCCTTTCTTCGACTGTTCGGCAGTCCCTAATTGGTTCTTTTTTTGTTTACGGGTGACAAAGTGAGTGGGTGAACTAGGCTAAGGGGCAGGGTAAGTGAGGGGTGGAGTGAGCCCCTAAAATTATTGGGCCCGGCCCGAACGGACACTTTGTCCCCCTTGGCCCTGCTTGATATTCTCAATCTCTCTGGCTTTAACTGAGTGCTCAACGTGTGCTATCAAAAAAGGGGATCCGAAAGTAGAATTAATCTAACAAGCAAATGGAATCATATGAGATGAAGCATGTGTGATGAATAGATTTGCTTTTGAGGCATTGGATCACACAATGAGAGATATAATGAGGTTCTATAATAATAACTCTAGAAATGAACCATTCAGAGGGGAAATATTTGTACTCGGAAGTGATTTTCGCCAGATCCTTTCTTTTTACCAAAGTTTCGAGAGAGGAAATTGTAAGTGTTACCTTGAATTCCTCAAAATTGTGGTTGTATTGTAAAGTTTTTACGTTGACCAAGAATATGATATTGCATTATGCAAATAGGGATACACAAGCTTTTTCTGATTGTATAATCAAAATTGGAAAGGGAAAGCTTGGTCAAGAGATTGATGGAATTGCTGACGTTGAAATTCTGCCCGGATTCTTGATTCTTGACATGAGTTATCCTCTCAAGAGTATAGTATTGAAATTTACTTATCTGAACTTATTGGAAAATATGAAAAAAAATATTATTTTCTTGGATAGGGAACCATTAGCACCCACTCTCGAAGTTGTTGAAATTGTAAATGAGTTTGTCCTATTTCTCATTCTCGGTGATGAAAAAGGAGTACTTGATTTATCATTCATAATGGCAAGTAGATGCCAATCTAGCTGTTGATTCTTATTGGATAACATTTGAAGTTTTGAATTAAATCAAATGTTCAGGGATCCCAAACCAAAAAATAGTTTTGGAAAAAGGGTACTGATTATGTTATTTGGGTTGTGTAATGTTACAAGATTAATTGTTGAATAGCTGCGAAAAAATGTTAACCGTGCAATCGTGGTTTTGAGAAATCGAGACGGGGAAAAGGTTTACATACCTCGAATAAATTTGATACTATATGATCCCAAGCTACCCCCTAAAGTTTCAAAAAAGACAATTCCCAATAGTTATATTTTGCTATGACTATTAACAAAAGTTAAGGTGAAATATTATCTTTTGTTAGATTATTTTAACTAAGTCACTATTCACTTATGGTCAATTTTATGTTGTTGTTTCACGAGGGAAGACAGATACATGATTAAAAATGTATATTTTAGATGACAATAAAAACCCTTGCAGCCAATACAAAAATGTTGTATACTCTGAAGTGTTTCATAAAATTTGGATTTTAATAACTCTTTGTTTGTATACTTTCAATTCTTCAAATATTATTTATTCTACTTTGACGTTGATGTATATATTATTAAAAATCATGTAAAATTTATTTTTTTAATCCGAAAAAATATTGCATGGAAAAAAAATAAGAATCGACAAAAAATTCGTTCGGCCCCGTGCATGGCACGAGTCAAAATACTAGTATACATTTATTTGCACCTTCTATCAAATTTTTGAACTTAGAAATTTATTAAAATTAATGATTTTTAAATTTTGAACTTTAAATTTCAAAATATAAAGATATTGGTCTAAATTTATATTCAAATTTTAGATTTTGAAACATAGAATTTTGGTCTAGATTTTGTTGTGAATTAAAAAATTTTGGTCTAAATTTATATTCAAATTTTAGATTTTGAAACATATAATTTTGGTCAAGTTTGAATTTAACAATTCATTTAAAGTCAAAGAGAACTATTTTATTAAAAAATAAAAATTCATAAAAAAGAGCATTTGCAAAAAGTGAGAAGCTGATAGAATTTAGGGTGGGTATGGATAACTGGATTGGACAATAAGACACTTGGGCTGAACCACATTAAAAGATTGAATCTAATCGATTAGTTAGTTCAACTCAAGAGCTTATATACTTGCTCGTAAACTTCCGATGTGGGATGACACTCTAACACTCTCCCTCAAGTGGATAACCGGACCATTTTGAATCTAACCGGTTGACCGCTTGCCAATAAACTTTCATTTCCTTGAATTTTTTTGTGCGCCAACACCTAAAGGACCACGAGCCGCTAATTATGGACTTCGAGACGATCAATCGTGTTAAACAGGCCACAGGCCGCTGGGTACATACTCCATACGGACAATTGGGCACTAACGGGCCTCTAGGAATGAACGTCTAGACGGACACTTTGACAAATGAGGTGGGCCAAAACCTGCTCCGATACCATGATAGAATTGAGGATGCGTATGGGATTAAGAGCTTATATACCGATTATTTTGCTCGTGAACTTCCGATGTGGGAGGACAATCTAACAGAAGCAAATCTCGATTATACAAAAAAAATTCTTTTGGATTTTATTTGCTTTTAAGTTGAACATTGAACAATATTAAACTTGAGAGTTTGCATTTTGACATTTGTAATAAGTGAGGATGCAATCTAATCCATACTTTATTTTAAAAGAGGTGAAGTGGGGTAATGG